CCCTTCGCCACCTCTGCTCTGTTCCTCTGGCTCAAATACGACCTTTTTCTTCTCCCCTCCTAATTAAAGGAAAAATAATCTTCAAGCTCCCTTTAACTTAAAGCAATCCCCCTTGAGCTGAATGATGGCATTGACATCGCTGCAGGAAAGCCCATAGCCAACAGTGATTCCAACTGAGGAACCTCCTCGCTCTCCCAAACAAGTGTCACCCAGGCCAAAACCAAGCCCCAGTTAAATCAACTTTATATATAGGTTCTCTTGGGAAGAGGGTGCTGCAGCCCTCAGCCTGGAAACCTGTCGACGCTGGAGGAACAGGAAAGGAAAGGGAAAGGAAAAGAAAGGAAAGAGGAAAGGAAAGGAAAGGAAAGGAAAGGAAAGGAAAGGAAAGGAAAGGAAAGGAAAGGAAAGGAAAGGAAAGGAAAGGAAAGGAAAGGAAAGGAAAGGAAAGGAAAGGAAAGGAAAGGAAAGGAAAGGAAAGGAAAGGAAAGGAAAGGAAAGGAAAGGAAAGGAAAGGAAAGGAAAGGAAAGGAAAGGAAAGGAAAGGAAAGGAAAGGAAAGGAAAGGAAGAAAAAGAGAAAGGGGAAAAGAGAAACTGGAGAGGGAAAAGGGAAAAGAGGGAGGAGGAGAGGAGAGGAGAGGAGAGGAGAGGAGAGGAGAGGAGAGGAGAGGAGAGGAGAGGAGAGGAGAGGAGAGGAGAGGAGAGGAGAGGAGAGGAGAGGAGAGGAGAGGAGGTCTGTCAGTGCTGCACAGAGGCTATCCAATGCCATTCCTTTTTTCACCTGGAAGGCAAGTTGCACTGTTTAGCCTAAGGACATATTGAAAAAATAGGTACCTGCAGGATAACAAAACTATTCTGATAAGGATGGTCCACGTATTCAGGAGGATATGGAGCCTGTGAAAGTCTCCAGGAGATAAATGATCATTGGTATGAAGCCTGAAATGGAAAAAAGCCTCAAGCTAAACTGGAATAGTAATTTTTTTAGGACAGAACAGGGAAATACCCGAACTTCATCCCGCGGCTGCTGAACCTTGAATGCGTTGTGGGGGAAAGGATCCAAAAGGGTTTTGGTGAGGAGAAATGGAATAATTGTAAAGGAAAAGTCCTGGCAGCTCTGAAGAAACTCTGAGTAAAACTGTAATGCACTAAAATCTACTGCCCAGATGTGCCTGGGGTAGGAGCCAGCTCTTTCTAAAGCTAACAACAGAAAAAGCCCCTAAATCACAGCAGGTCTCTTCTGGGTTGGCAGAAGATCTCCATGGTGAATTCTTCTCATACTGGCACCATGTGTGGCAACGGAGGCCATCCCATAGTATGAAAATGGATGAATTGCCATGGATGGTGTGACAAAACCCAACAGCTCATCAGGTTAAAAGCTATTGGGAGAGGAGGGTTGCAACCCTCAGGAAATCTGCCTTTGATGGTACCCACTGGGTCCACTGAATACTAGGGGGTGAACTTGGTGCATGGTCAAAAGGAAGAGGTGATGTGGTCTCTGTGATGCATAGGTTCTTCTCTCTTTCAAACACACATGCACACACATGTATATGTGCACACATATGTGAACACGCACACACATTCTTGGATGCACAGAAGGAAAATCTTTGGCTGTTCTTCAGATTTCTGCAGGAAAAACACGATTCTCACAAACTGTGAGCTGGCACCACAAAACTTCCCTGTTATTCTGGATGGGCTGCTGTAGAAAAGGAGTTGAAACTGAATACAGCAGAGTCTAGACACAAGCTGTACTTGTGCTTCAGTGTGAAAGTTAACTGTTCTGCCACCTCCAGATAGCAGCAGCACCTTGCAGCTATCAGCACTGGGGCTTTTCCTTCACAACCCACAATTGGTGTCTTTTTCCTGGCTTCAGTTCCATTAGGTGACATGGACTCACATCTTTAACACCAAAACATCCCATACTCAGAATGGAGTAGACAACAATTCAAGAAGGGTTGGTATTTGGAATTAAATATGTATCATTATTTATTGTGCTTCAACAGAAGTGGTATTGACAAAGAACAAGGCAGACTAATTGCTGGTGGCCTCCTGCCTATCAGAAATCTCAGCTTCCCATCAAAACGAGATTAGATACCTTCTGCAACCTCATCAAGCTCTTCCTTTCCTGGTATTCTGAGCTATGTATGAATAGCTCAGAGCAGCATTGCACAATGTGCTGTGCGGTGCACACGGTAAGGCTTCAATGCCCTTCTCCCTGTAGCACTGTCCAACCCCCATACTGGAAAGATGAGACTCAGAAAAGAGCAGAGGATTAGCTGAAATGCCACCCGAGAAAACACCTCAGTCATGGAAAAGAGCATGAATATCTAGGAGTGTGTGGATGGTGCTTGTTGGGATGGGACTAAGGGCTAACCCCACATGCTGAAGGAATTGTGTTTACATGGGAGGGCGCTCAACCAATCTCTCATGTGAGAGAAAACCCAGGGCTTAAGCAACAGAAACCCCTGCGCTGAGCAAAGGTGGTAACAAAAATCCCATAGCTGAACGTTTTGGGGTGAAAAAGCAAGGAGAACGGCAACTGTGCCACCTAAAAACCACTGTCCACCCCTTGGTCCGTCTGCACCGAGGAGAGGTAGTGAAAGCAGGGAGGGGGAAGTGAATGTTCACACACCAGCACAGCTCAAGGAGTGAAAGTGTTATTTTGAGGTGGGCTCTGCAGGTCTTCCCAGCCATTCATTACAGTAACGACTGCACAGACCACACTGAAGACAGCCCGAGGGGTCACATCCCCTGTGGTACCCCTGGAGGTGGGATCAGCCTTGCTCTCCATCTACTCTTCTGCTGAGACAGCATTTGTGCTTGGCACCAGCACTCCCGAAACCCTCCCACAGCTCCCACGAGCCGCATGGCAGTCGCTCTCCTACGTGTTCTGCTCATTTTGAAACTCCTCGGTGCACAGGACAACATTCCTGAGCAGCCCTGGCCTGAGCTGTCTGTCCTGGGAGTATCCCTTAGGAACAACAATCCCCATCTCACCCCATTGCCCGGTAAACATCATCAATCACATCCCTCATCGTACAGGGGACGGGGCAGAGAGCAGCAGCAGCACTCTCAAGTTACCGGTGGGACAAAGCAGACTAAGTAGACAGAATTAACCCCAATCACACAAAGCTATTCAGCAGGTCCAGGCAAGAGGCACAAGCCAATCCTCACCTCCTCCTCCTCCTCCGGCTCGCCGCTTCCAAGGGGCTGATATTTCTGTGCAAGGTGGAAAAACAGCTTCTTCTGGAGGAGTTTGGTGAAACCTCCTTCTACCATCTTCACAGCGCAGCGGTGGGACAGTGCCACCCGCCGCCGGCAGCACTGGCTCTGGTTCCCCTGCCAGCACAGGGCTCTGGTCACAGGCAGGGAGAGGAGGCAGGTTTACCTGCTGCCAAGTCACGCCTTCGGCCGCAGGTGCCGGCGGGAGGCTGCGCACCCTTCGGCAGCGATGCAGGGTGCTTCGCCCATCCAACCCTGCCAGGAGCTGTGTTTGACACCGTGGCTGGTACAGGAGTGAGGTGTCCCTATGCGGCACCCGGATTGAGGGCTTGCAGCTCTGTGTTTTCCTCCCCACCCTCTGAAGAAGAGATGCGGGAGGTGCCCCAGCACAGAAGACAGATAGGAGGGAGGGTGTTTTGCCAAGGCCACTGCGTGCAGAGGCAGGACAGGTTGCACACACTGCAGAGCCTGTTTGTAAATCCTCCTTGAGAAATGCTCCAGTCAGCACAACGCTGGTATTTAGAAGTATTTACATCAGGGAGAGGGTATAATGTATGAATTGGTGGTGATCATTTATAAACCCCACGGTTCATTCACCAGAGGGGAGCTCTTCCATGGTGAATCTCAGTATGCAGCTAAAGTTTGCAGTGACATCCTTTCTGAAGATGTATAGCTGCCTCTTCGGGAGCACTGTGCTCCGGTTTGCACCGGGACACCTACATCCTCCCACAGGCATCATGACTGCGGGATTCACTGAGGCTTAAATTGTCTCTAAGGTGTAAATTATGAGATTAAGGTCCTCCTTGGACTGTAAAAGCTGCATTAAGGGAATTAAACGTAATTCCAAGTCAGAAAACAACAATTCTCTGCAGGGGAACAATTTTCTCATAGGACACCCAGGTGCCAGCTTCACAGCTCTGGAGATGGGGAGGTGACATCTGGACCATGATGGGACCACTCACGTATGGGACAGCCCATGATACGCAGAACCTGGCCAGCTTCCATCAAATGTGGAGCATTTCACTGTTTCCTATTTGCATCTCCCAGGTGCCATTGGCTCTAGGGAAAGCTGAAGAGCCCCGTGGGACACCCCACCATCACAATGGAGCTTGCAGCTGCAGGTAACACACTGGGGCAGCTTCTTTCCACACTGAGGAGAAAATGAAGCAATAGGGAAACACCCTACAAATATCCAGGCTGTTGTAAAGCACAGCTGGTGCCTCCTAACTCCCTCAGCTCCTGGTTGAGAAATACTTTCCTAATGACCCCAACTGGACGCGTCAAGCAGATGAGGGAAGTTCCTGTATTGCTGCAACACCCCTCCTTCCCATGGGAAAACACCCAGGGATAATGCAGCTCCCATACAGGCCCTGCTCAGGGCTCAGGGAAGGTGCCCAAAGGCTGCCCAGGCTCCAGGGGTATGGAGAGATTTAGACCTTATCAAAATGTGTGGGAACTCGATGGTAACACATCTCTGAGCTCACAAACGCTTCCCAGCTGGTCCCCTCCTTCTGTAACTATTGCAAGGATCTGGAGCACAGCCAGCTGGCTCTGCCCTGGTCTTGATAAGGCAAAGCAGGCACTGCCTGGCAAGGAAATACATTCTTCTGTTCCTCTGAGCGTGTTGGCAGTAGTGATAGCCTTGGGATCTCACTGAATTATAGCTCCCTGATAGAAAAGTGGAGAAAAAATCATCTTCCCCCTCTCTAGGGAGATGGGAAAAAGAATTCCCTTGTTCTTGTTGTTGCTCTTCTCATCCCCAAAACCTCACCCATCAATCCAGGAAATTTTCTTGGTTTAATCCTGTTTTTCTCATCCCAAACCCTCTCCCATCATCCAGGAAGCCAGCACATGGCAAAGGTGAGTCCTCCTGGGTCTCTGTGCTGTATGAGGTAGTGCAGCCTCTCTCATACAGGAGGGCATGGCTCTCCCATACAGTTGATTGAGCAACAGGCTCTTGCTGACTCTTTCCTTGTTTAACTTCCTCCTCTTGGCCAAAAGCTGCTACTTGTGGAAACACGTGTATCCCAGTGTGTGTACACAACCAGGGAACAGGATCCAGAATGTCTGCAGTGTGGGCTCATTCACATCTACCTCCCTCCTGGCCTCACACAGGCATGAGGACTGCTGAAGTGAGGGGCTCAGCAAAAACACTGAGACAAACGGGACCTAAATAGGAGAAATTTGGGTTGAGGAGCATGTAACACACCATAAGAATCAATGCATTGTGGTTTATTACCCAGCAGCTCCAGAGAAGCCGTAGTTTGGGCTCAGGACCTGTCATCTTTCTGTCCATTCAGCCCTATAACGTGAAATTACATTTTAACACCAATGAAACTGAATAAAGGCAGAAAGGAAATGTAGTTGTTGTGGCTATTTGCCACGCGTTCTGAAGAATTGCTGAACAGACTGAAGTTTCATTTTCTTGGTGCTTTGGGGAAAGCTTGTTAGGCAATCCAATGGAAAATTCATGTATTTTGCTGTCTTGTGGTTCAAAAAAATGGTGGGAATAAACTGAATCAAGATTACATTGTAAAGAAAATAACACAGCACTTTCATGGCATTTCCTATTTAATTGGATGAAAAAGTTGCAGCATCAGACTCTAGCTCTAAGTAGGTTATGTGGGAAACCTTTTGTTTTTCTTTCAAATAGCAAATGTGTGTTATGAAAACACATACGGTACAGCAGCCGTGACTGAGATTGTGTGAGCCCAAAAGGGCTGCTTTCAGTTCAAAACTCACAGCTCCTTTACCTGCTTCCCTAGCCATAACCAGGGCTGGCCACACTTTCGTTCCTCTTGTGCCACCTTGAGGGAACAAACCTCTGGTGCATGGGTAGAATTTAATGCTTGCTGCTACCCAAAAATCCCAATATTCTGCTTTCAGGTGGGCTTTTTTCCCCAGGCCTCTGAGCAGAACATCCACTGCCCTGGTTATAGAAACAAAGAGCAAAGATCTGGGCCATGGTTCCTTTCTCTCTTGTCAATGCTACTGACACAGGGTCAACAAAAGCCTTAGGTCTGTCCCTCAGTGTGTCACCAGGAAGAAAGGGGGGATTTAGTTTAACCTCTTGGTTTCTGGCTTTCTGAGAGACTCACCTGGTGGTGCAGCTCAGGCTGGGTGAAATGAGCCCCAGCATCCACATCTCTGCCTTGGAAACTGACCTTTTGGAACCTCGGAAAAGGTCTTTTTTGTTTTGCACAGCTTCTGCCTTGGTTCTTGCTACTGTGTCCTCATAGAAAAGTAATGAGGAGAAAGTAAGGGGAAGAAACAGGACTTACCTTTGTAGACTCATCAGCAAAAGTGTCCTTTTCATTTATCTTTAAATGATGACAAATGATGCTGTAAATCCTTTTGCCTTAGACAGACAATTGTTGCTCACCCCACACTGCCTCCAGAGAAAGATCCAGCCTGTGTAGACAAAGTAAGGTGGGACACAACCCCTGTATGAACAAATCCCTGCCATGCAATGGGCAAAGAGAAACTGTCAGTCTCCAAAGGTTCTCCATAGGTTTCTTCAGTGCTTACAAAACAAGGGAAGATCTTCCTGAAGTCAATCAAAATGCTTCCGGACCATAAAACTCAAGGGAACTCTGAACTAAACAGGTCAAAATTAGAGTAATTTATTATTATTATTCTCATATTTACAACTTGATTGCTGACCTGCTGGGGTTTTAATACGGACCTCTGGCTCCTTGGAGGTCTCTTATGATGTTTGTCCTCCTGTTGACTCCAGCTGCTGGTTTCAGGGGTGCACCAATGGCACTTCAGTGCCATCTGCAGATGATGTCTTAGGTTACACAGTGTTCTTTCCATGGAGACCATAAGCCTATTACACCAACAGCAGTTATACTGGCATGCATTAACATGGAAACAAGTTGAGATCCAAGTATAATTTTGTGTTCACCAAATAGATTCTTCTCTTGCAAGCCAAGGTACCTAATCTTGCTTATTCTTACCTTACAGCAGGAGGCATGAGTTAAGCACACACACCCTTGACCTCCCCATCCTAACAGTCCATATGACCATTGTCATGAGGAGTTTGAGTGATCCCAAGGCTAACTTAACTGACAGACTGAAGAGCTGCCCTGACACCTAGTGCTAGCCAGTGCCTTCTCACAACCCATAGAAAACCTTTCCAGAGCAATGAAACCCATAGCTATTCCCTCCTTGGCTCCATCACAGGCAGTTTCACTCTCTGTTGTCAACGTAGGGCAAAAGAGAAGCAACGCAAACTCATGCCCACTCCTGATGAGCAGGTAGAGCAAGACCAGTGTGGGTGGAGCTGGTGGGATGATGAAATCTTGTTTGATCCTGGTAAAACAGTGCTCAGCAACCCAAACACTCAGTACCAGGCTCCTCTTTCAGCTCTGGTTTCCTGCAGTGGGCAGCTTGATGACCTCTACTTGGTTTACCTACCCATCCTTGGAGCAGGCCTTGGCCTCCCATAAAACTGCCTGAGATGGCTGCTGAAAGGCACCCAGCAGTGAACAACAGCTCTGAATCAACAAGGAAAATGCCTGGTCAAATAAAACAGTCACCATCTGCTTAGGTCACCATCACTATCCTCTTTACACTACTGTCCATCAGCTTCAGCTTGGGCAGTAGAAATGAAGGCACCAAGGACTGAGTGTCTGGTGGCCTCTGGAAGGGGACACTGATGGTAGATGTGTTTTGAGAGCCTGTTACTTCCAGGTGACAAAATTACACTTTTCTCACTGTGCCTATTCTTCCTGAGCCATCCCAACAACTAACATTTGAAAGACTTGTCCTTTTTCCCCTAATTCAAAGCCATGTTAAGAACAGACAAGTGAAACAAGGCAGAGTTCAAAAATATACTGGTCACTTTTTATTGAGCACCGAAATGGCAGAACCTGCACATGTGTAAGCACCAGGACACAAACCGGGAAGGGTCTGCTGCAAGGCAGAGCAGCTCCCCTGGCAGTGGCCAAGGATCCGGAAGGCCATGAGCATTAGTAGCACACAGTGATACACATAAAGTTTGTTATAGCACCCAACGTGACTTAAAGTGTACATGGAAACATTAAGAACAACCTACAGCAGTGATTTCCTACTGTGCTCCGCAGGACTGTTGCTAAACCATTTGTCTTTGGAGAGAAGACAAGCTGAGGACAACTTATTTGGTCTGTGTTTTCATTTCAGCATCCAATGGATGCCAGTGTTGAAAACGCAGAACTTGGGCAAGTTTTTTCTGTGGCTCTTGTTTCTGAGTTTGACAATGAATAACTTGAAAAGAATTAACTTGAAACAAGCCCCAGCCGTTCTAGCACCATGAGGAAGGGTGATGTCCCTGATAACACCCAGTAAACTGAATTTAAACAACAAAGTATTAATTTGTCAATTTTAATTTTTTAAAATTCCTTTTGCAAGTAGAAAATATCCTTTATATCCTCACCATCCCATCCAGCAAGGTGGTCAGGTGTGTGCTCTTGTGGCTACAAAAAAGCAGCCACTGAAGTGAGTGTGTACACTCAAATAAAGCATATTTTTGGATGCTTTGCAAGATTAGGTTGAGATCTGAAGTTTTGATCTTGCAAATTTTTTAATGCTTAAACTTACTAATGCTTAAGTTTTTCACCTACATCGTAGCTTTTTAGGCACTGAATTCTTAATTTTAAAGTAGAACTATTTGGTATTCGCTCTTTGGGTCTTAGCAGTAACCATCGAAGGGCTTTGCTCACTTAATCAGAACTTGATTTCTCTGCAAAAAGTAATGCTGAAAACAATCTGTTTCACTGAGCAGCATGTAGGAGTGAGGCTGCATTAGGACTTTTGCTATGAGCTGTGTTGCTTTAAGTTGTCAAGTAAGGTCAGTGGCAAAGCGGCAGGTTTTTGGCCCAAACTGAGACTGGAACTATAAGATATGGATGGACTCCTGCACCTCAACAGAAGATATCATTGTATGAAGCTGCATATGATAAAATCATAGAAATACATCTTTCTGCAAACATGGTGTTGCATTTAATACCTAGAACTTGGAGCAAAAGCTCAAAGAAGTGAATGGAGTTCAACAAACCAAGATATTTAGGAAAATCTGGAGCCCTTCATCTGTTCCTTTGCTCTATAAAGCATCAGGGAGTGTGTGTGCTTATGGCTGATAGAAAACAGAAGAGCAGTTTGGCATCTTTCATCTCTCCAGCTGCAAATGTCGCAGAAGAAGCATCAAGTGTTTTATAGGTGGTTTAGCTTTGGCTTAAGCTATTTGGTGAGTGTAAAAAAGAATCCCCTAGTTTGTGGGTGGCAGCAGGCACTTGTATTTGTGAATTGGGTATTTATATCTACCACTACTACTCTGCATATTAAAATGCTAATTTTATGCATGCATACAGGGACATGTACTAAATAAGGGAGCAAACACGGCTTCTTTTGCCTAGCAATTCTGACAGATTTGTTGAAATTAAATGCAAGTGTCCCTTTGGGAGTGCCACTGGAAAGGAAAACAGCCATAGAAGATGTGTTTTCCACTTTATAATGCTAAAAGAAGCTGTGAGGCCTAATACAAATAACTTGGCCTTAAGGATTTATGGAAGTTGACATAAAGGTACAGGACTTCTAAAGAGCAGCTGCCCATCTGCCAGACAATCCTTTTAATTACACAAACTTATCCTCAATTTGCCTTTTTAATATATGCATCAAATAATCCAGACTTCTGCCTTTTTGCTGAGGTTATGCGGGTACAAAAGAGCAGATGTGCACTTTGTGAGTATTAACTGTGCTGGCTGAAAACTTAAAAAGGCTGGCACATATGTGTGTCTTCTTAGACATTGTAGGGAGAAATCTATTCCATCATTAGCTCTCGATCTGCAGCTCACCAGACTGAGAAGCTAAAGGAAAGTAACTAAATATACATTTATAAAACCGGTTTTGCTCCTAACCCAGAGTTCTTCCAATTCTTAAGACTTCAGGTTTAGGCTTGTGGTTTGGGTGTCAAACCTGGTAAGCCTTGGGTGGAAAAGAAGAAACCTGCAGGTTTCTTCAGACTTTAAGCTTACGAAAAGGCTTAGCTGTTCAAGATAGGCAGACACTGGATTGGATCCAGAGATCCCCTTTGGTCTTACAGTCTTGCCTATTATAATGCAGTTGAGATATGATATTTAGGTACAATTCTGACGTCACTTCATTTTATAATCCTGAGTTATGTTTGTGGTAGTGAAATCTGAATCGGTCACATAACACATACGTAAAGGGCAGGCTCTCTTCCAGCAGCCTGACAATGGCACTGTGGTTTATAGGGATCCACTCGGAGGTATTTGCATTTCATTGGTAGAAGGGCAGCTCATAAACAGTGTGGTTTCTTTCAGAGGATCACATTTCTCCCCCTTCTGGTAGGCTTAAAATCTAGATTCACTGTGCTCCTTGGAGAGTGAAGCCTTTTATCATGGATGAGCAGGGATCAGGGTAATACTGGAGACGTGGTCATGGAGATTTGGGACCAGAGTTCTTCCAAAACCTAGAAAACTGTTGGGTAAAGCATTCCTTGACAGCTGCTAAACAGAGCGGTCCAGCTGGATGAAAATCAAACAAAACAAAAAGAGGAATTAAAATATTTATCCTTCCTGAGATGCTTGCACAGAACTTGTCCTTATGTAGCTGTGCAATCCCAACAGTCAGCCTGACGTAGGTACGTAAAAGACACACTGAGCTGCTTTGTTTCCATAGCTGTCAGTTAAGCTCAAGTTAGTTTTAAAGTGTTGAGTAAACTACCGTGGGACTGAACCTTTGGTCTAATAAACATTTTCATTCTTACCTAATTCAAAGCCTGATAAAATGACTGGAGCTTTTTCAGTTGGCTTCGCTCTGGCCGGATACATGTACACTTACTCACATGAGTGGGTCACACTGCTCAGAGCAACCGTTCACACACGTAAAGTTATCCCACAAAATCACCCACCTGCCTAAGTATTTTAAGACTGACCTTTGTTGCAATCAGTCCAAAATAGCTTTTTAATTTGTCTTGCAGGAGCAGTTAGACCTACATTAGAAGAAGCTCCCTAAACAGAAAGGTTAAAATCTTAAGGTAGACAAAGTTTTGCAGCATCCTGAAAATCACTTCATTCTCTAAACACCCTCAAGGTTCTTCAAAGGAATCAGGTGCATCTTGTGAAGTTAGAGTAAAAAAGAGTGACGGAAAGCAGTATTTGGGAAAGACATTAGCTTCTCATGGAATGTTTTGGAGACCTCAATCTCCGACGCTGCAGGTTCTCAAGATACTTCTACAGCAAGGTCTGTTTGTCAGCATAGGTGTTTCATGAAGCTCAAAGTATGCATCTGTATGCAGTTTTAAGGTGCTGTCCTTATAGTGGCATTTTGAAGAGATGTAATTTCACCCTCAAACAACCTCTTCTTTAAATAATTGTATGCTAACCACCAACTATTTTCACCCAGCTTTCCCTTTATTCACAGGACACTTACCCTGGCACACCTTTGATTAGCCTAAATGCTTCTGCTGGTTTTTCACATAGCTGACCACATT